TTTCCTCTGCCCTCGCGGTATTACTTTTTATCATCGCGGTGCCTCCGCAGAATAGCATTACAGCGCTATTGCACTGGTCAGACGCAGCCTATCTCAGTTCGGGCGTCCCAGTGGTACCTTGCCCTGTATGTCGTCTGCCACCGACGCGGACGGCGGGAGAACAGGAACACAATCCATCCAGCAAGGACCACTGCAGGTTGTTCGCATGGGCGATGCATGTGAATTCAGTTTGAAGGGTATGGCTCGCAACTCCCTCACGGTTCAAAGAAGACTGGAGATCGTATTTTTTAAGATTTCGTACAAAGATATTTAAAAAGTCGTACTTTCATAAGTGTCATCGCATTTGTGGTAAATCAGGAAAGAAGAGAAACTGCATTTGCTATTCGGATGCGTCATGTGATGTGGATACAACGTGTTTTGTGCGTCATTGTCTATTCAAGCTGCAGAGCGCATATTTCTTTTCGAATTTCGGTTTTGATCGAGTCTCTCTGAAATGACTTGATCATATCCAAGCATTTGCATAACCCTTCATCCGTTAAAATGATATTGGTGTTTTTATTATCACCAAACTCCTTACTAAAATCAAGCAAACTAGGAAGCATTACAGTTTTCAATCATTTAAGCGTAAGTAGTTGGTACTCGTTGGAATCTTTGATATGCTTACCAATTGATTATCCGGGGCTACTGCGTTCGAGTGACAGCTTGATTTGTTATCATGATTTTATCGTGCAAAAACATTCCACTTTGGGGCATCACGCAACATTGCTGGTCAGGTTCCGTGCATCCCATACGATATACCGAAAGGCCATCCTCCTGCAGAAGCGGTACGGCTTACGGCTGCACCTTTCTGCAAGGGCTATCGTCCATCGTATCCGTCCGTATGGATGTGTACGATTGGACCGGGAGTTAGGTACTGCTGCTGCTCTCAGCTGTCAGCAGAGAGCGGACCTTAACTTCTTTAGGGGATGTCGTTAGTGGTGACTATATGAGAATAGGTGTTAGTGTCTGGTATCCGTGTCATTGATGTGTAATGTTGCGCTCACCTTATATTTTTCATTGATAATTTAAAAAATTAGTGGGGATACAAATCCACTTTTCCGCCTAATTTTTAAATTTTCATGTCAAATAAGGTGCCTCCACGGAGAACACGATACGAGTTTACTCTGTATGGTAGGGTAAACCATTACCCTTGCAATGACTCCTTGCAAGAGTGTAAAATTTACTCCGATGTGAAGGATCAGTTGGATTTTTTACTATTCTCGTCGGGGTAAACACCCAAGGAGTACAATTATTTTACCCTACTGACGATATTTTAGGGGACGTGTTATTCTCGGGACGAGAGTAAATTGAAGAAGTTACCACCTGGGAAGGAGTAAAAAACGAGAATAAAAAACGTCTGTGGACGTCTTACTCTTTCCTGGAGGGTAAACTCCCCAGGAATGAGTATATTTACTCCATGGTGGTGGGTAAAATCAAAGTGTTACCCTTCAGCCAAGAGTAAAACAACGGATTTACCACCTGGGAAGGAGTAAATACAAAGTTTTTACCCTCTGGAGAGTGGTAAAAAACGTCTGTGGACACCTTACTCTTTCCTGGGGGGTAAACTCCCCGGGAAGGAATATATTTACTCCGTGGTGGTGGGTAATACCAAAGTGTTACCCTTAAGTCAAGAGTAAAATAACGGATTTATCCTCTGGAAGAGAATAAATTAGAAGAGTTTACCCCGCGGTACGTGGTAAAAAAACGTCTGCGTGCCTCGTACTCCCTCCCAGCGGATTTACTCTCCAGGGGAGAGTAAAAAAGTTTTCAGTGTATCTCGCCACGTGGGAAAAAGAATAAATTGTCATCAAAGATGTAACCATTGACCTATAATAAGTACTTTTTAATATAATAAGTACTATAATATAATAACAATAATATAATACTATAATATAAGTATTATTATAATATAAGTATTATATTATACTATAATATACTATAATATAATATTATAATAAGTACTAAGTACTTTTTATAGGTCAATGGATGTAACATAGATTATCTGACAGTCTTGCCGTTGAAACAGTCGGTAGGAATTTAGGATGGCTTTGTTGAAATATGTTTCATGTGTTTGGCTCACCAGCGTTATGGATTACTAGCGGTTTGTGTACTGGCAGCATTAGGCCGACGCTGATCAATGAGAACAATATCGAAGGTCGTGCTTCTGAAATACATAACTTAATGTGCATGGTCAATTGGTCACAGACTTACCGTAAGTCAGTGATAAATGATCTGACGTAACATCACAAAGCAGGCTAATATTAGTGACTACAATCAGTAGCTCATACAAACGATTTGTGATCGGTAAAGTGATAAATATTTACGTCATTTACTCGACTGCATGCTGACTCGCGAGAATGATTTAATTTGTATGTTGCGGCTGTCAAACCCCATTTTACCAGACTAATAGCCAAATATGTACATTTATGTAGTGCTAACTCGCGCCCCGCAAGGGGGGGGCAGAATCTGCCCCCTCCCGTTTTTCGCCAATAACTTATAAACGCGTTACGTCAGCGACGCAAATCTCTCAGTATCTTATCATACATCAATTTAACGCGTTTTCTGAAAACTTGAACGAAATCCGTAGGAAAATATTTGAGAAAATGACGTTTTAGTGACGTCATGTCCGCCATTTTCGACTCAAAAAGCGGCAAAATTTCAAACGCCGCTAAGATCTTCATTTTTAAAGGAATCAAGACGTAACAAAAAAGGTTACACGTCATTCTACTTTGTCTATCAAATGGCTATCTCAGTTTTTTTTAATTTTGGATTTTGACCCAAATTAAAAAAACGGCCTTTTTGGGGAAAATAACTATAAAATCCAAAATGTTTAGTTTATCGACAAAACCGGAATGTATCTCAGATAGGTGGTCTGGTCTATGTGCACCTACATACCAATTTTTAGAAAAATCGATTAAAAAATGTGGGAGTTATTCAAAATTTTATGACGTCACGACACACAATTATTTTTGAAAAATTAATATTTTGGTAGTTTTAGGCCTCGTACGGAAACAAAAATAGCACCATTCAATTTGCTGTGAAAAACTGCATCAGAAAGACACTTTTTTAGGTCTTAACAACCAACTTCAAAATTTGACCTCACTTGACCTGACCTTGACCTGACCTCGACCTGAAATTAATCCAGATGCTGTCCATATCACTTATTGAGTGCTGCCTATTGAATTCTATGAATAAAATGACCCATAAAACATGTGTCGCACATGACCTTTTCTATATTTCGTTTTTGGTGACCTGACCTGACTTTGACCTTGACCTTTTCATGATGTTGTATGCAACGAATATTGTCCTGGTAGCCTAAGAACACGTTTTGGGCAACCAGTCTCAGTCCATTCTTCGGCAACTACGGTGCAAGGCCGACACTGTACAAACTTGCATTTTGTACCCTTGACCTGACCTTGACCTGACCTCTGACCTACTTAAGCAAAAAATGGGCTCTTAAGATCCGCCTTGTTGAGAGCTTTCGATTGCCGTTTTCCGAGTCTTTCTACGACCATCGGTTCGGAAGTAAGACAGGGGGCAGAATCTGCGCCCCCCCCCCCCCCCCCCAGCACGGCGCGTATGGCTGAATAGCCCAGCGCGGCGGGGCGCGGGTCAACTGTTTAGTACATTATTGATGCTTATGTAGACTGTGGTTGCGTCTTAGGTCCGAAAGCCGATATTTAAAATCACATGTTTGCTATATTGGGTAAACAATAACTCAAAACAGGCACAAGCCCGGCCGGCCCCTGCTCTGCCGACTCTCCCTCTCGTCTCTGGTCAGCTGTCGCTGCCCAAGCGGGGAGCGGGGTGGCGTTGCCCTAGCAACAGTTGCTAGGAGACGGCCGACGGCCTCCTCCCGCGGACGGATGCGGGCGGCGAATCTCAGCCGTCTATATCCGACGCACCATAAAAAACGACACACTGGTACACGAAACAATCCACGAAAGCGAGCGCTCACTTAATCGCACACAGCACATCGCGGAAGCACATGTCCCTGGTCCCACGCATAAAACACCACATACACTGGTACTCCCGCACTTCACTGTCCAGTGCACCGGGGCAACCATCCGATATGTCAGTCTCACCGCGGCGCCTGTCCTGGGCGTGCAGATCAGACGGCAGCAGGCGCTCCCGGAACGCCAGTCCCAGGCGAAGAGCGGTGACGGCATGGCGAGCCGCGTCGGTCCTTGCTGGCGGTCCCACAATGCGCAGGCCAGGCTATGGCTTGCGGAGCCACAGCTGAACAGTAGCCGGAGCAGCGTGATATCCGGAACATCACTACAGTTAACTCGCAGCGGCGGGCACTAGTTCGGGCGCAAAAGAACACAACGCTGAACACAGTACCCACCACAAAGCGTGTCGATACCCTACGACAACAGAAACAGAGGTTTGCCTGGTGCAGGTGCTCTTTATCAAATTATCTCTTCTAACCGGCCTGAGAGGAGAGGGCAGTGGTGGCTAACGGAAGAAGGATAAGTGCGTTCTCAGAAGTCGCAAATTGGCAAGTCAATGGTGCTTTGCATTATCCCCGTTCACAGGGAACCAAGCGATGTCGTCGTGGCCACTCGGACAACACATGGGTGCTACACCAATACCAAACTCGACAACTTCCTTCTGTTTCTGCACAGTCCCAATAAGCCTTACAGCACACCAACTACGATTTCACAGACCAACTTACAACTCAGTCACAACACAGCACAATGACATATCTCACAATCAACAGTCTCTTGATCTAGCACATCACCCGGGAACAAAACGATCGACAGGCTTGGGAATCCGGGAGCTGTGGCGTGGCGCCGGCACCGGCGCTGAACCAGCGTTGCTGGCGGCCACCGGCTCTACGGCCTCGGTGACGTCTGCGACATCAATCGCCAATCCAGCAGCGACATCGGAAGGGACCGTCGCAGCGGAGTCATCACCTGCAACTGCAATGCCTGTCGACAAGTCATCAGTGACGTCCGTCACGCCAGCAGGCTCATCAGCGTCTGAAATGCCAAGAGGAGCCGGTGGGACATAATCATCTCCTGTGGGCCACACAGCCTGTGGGTGAGACGGACCAGCTGGCCCGGCGGCCAGAGGAGAACCTGCAGTCCTCCCATCCGGCTGAAGGGCATCTGTAGAATCAATTGCCCCTCCGGCCGCCACGTTCGGGTTAGCAGTCTCTGAAAAGGTAAGGTCACTATCTGGGACTGGAACCACTGAGCCGTCGGGTCTGGGCTTCAACCTGTTATGATGCACAATAACCGATTTTCTGCCACCCAGCAAACGAACTCTGTAATTCAAATCCGACAGCTTCGCGGTCACAATAGCTGCCTTCCACGGCCTGACGAACTTGTAGTATTCACCACGTGGTACTACAGCTTTGAACAAATAAACAGGGTCACCAACCTCGAACTGATGCTGTGTCAGCTTCTTCTCGTAAAGCCTCTTGTTGCGCTGATGTCTGCTGTTGGAAGACTGGATAGCGATGTCGTGGGTCAGTTTCAACCGTTGCGTGAGCTTCTCCAGGTACTCTGACACAGTGGCTGTTTTGGTCTTCGTTGACGGCACCTGAAACTGAAGAGTGGCAGGCATCGTTGGGTTCCTGCCGAAGAGCATGAAATACGGTGAGTAACCAAGCGACGAATGCACCTTTGCACGGTAGCCCAACATCAATAGCGGCAGATGGACATCCCAGTCATCATGGTTACCGTCCAGGTACTTCGAAAGCATTCCCAAAATGGTACGCATCATGCGCTCACACTTGGCGTTACCCTCCGGATGATAGGGGGAAATCTTAGTTTTCTCAACGCCTAGCAGGCGGCAAACCTCTTCGATGAGAGCTCCTGTGAAATTGGCAGCGTTATCAGAATGAATTCGTCTCGGGCAGCCAAAACGAGAAATAAACTGATTCACCAGGACGTCTGCTACTGTTACTGCCTTCATGTCTGGCACTGGGTAAGCCTCACACCACCTGGTGAAATGGTCAACAACCACAAGCAAATGTCGATTGCCCTGTGAAGTAGTCGGCAAACCTGAAAGGAAATCGATTGAAATGGTCTCCAGAGGCTCCTCAGCGTAAAGCTCGCCCATCGACGCTCTCGGTCGGGGCACTGGGGCAGCTCTCGTGTTGCAGCGCTCGCATCGGCTGCAGAAATCCTTCACGGATTCGTCCATATTGGGCCACCAGAACTCGCGTCTGGCAGTCGCGACAAGGGCCTCAGCACTGTAGTGGCCTCCAGCTGGACCTGCGTGCAGAGAGGTCAGCACACCGGGAACAAGTTGCTGCGGTACGACCAGCTGCAACTGCTCCTCTCCACCTGCACGGGCACGATACACACGGAACAGCACACCGTCCAGCAGCTTCAGGCGGTGCCACTGTCTCAGCAGCGTCACAGCGCTGGGGGTCACGTTCGTCGATCTCGGCCTCTTTCCTGTGGACATGTGTCTCGCAATGTCAGCTATCGCAGGGTCCTGGTCCTGCTCGTGGCGAAGAAAGCCATTTGACCACGAGCCAGGAGACACTCTCATGACCGGGACACTCTCTGGTGCAGTTTGAGTCGCGGCATCCTGGGTCACCGGCGGACGTCGGCTCATGACATCAGCTGGTACGTTCTCAGACCCTGGACGAAAGATAATCTCGAAGTCATATTCGGACAGTATCTCCAGCCATCTCGCCAGCACTCCTGAGGGATTTTTGAAATTGAGAAGCCAGCGAAGGCTCGCATGGTCAGTCCTCAGCTCAAAACGCCTACCAAGCAGGTAGTGTCTGAAATGCTGGACGAAAATAACACAAGCCAGCAACTCCTTTCGTGTGGTGCTGTAGTTGCGTTGCGCCTTCGACAGCCTGTGAGACGCGAACGCGATCACCTTGTCCTCTCCATCCTGCTCCTGGAAGAGAGTAGCACCAATGCCTGTGTCAGAAGCATCGGTATCCAGCCGGAATCGACCAGCACCAGCTGAAAATCTGGGAAATGAGACCACTGGCGCGCTCGTAAGCGCACACTTCAGCTGCTCAAACGCGCTCTGCTGCATGTCACCCCATTGAAACTTTGCATCTTTGTGCGTCAGCTGAAACAGAGGAGCAGCTATTTCGGCGAAATTGCGCACAAACTTTCTGAAATATGACGCGAGTCCCAAAAAGCTCGACAGTTCCTTGACTGTACGAGGAGCAAGCCAGTCAACTACCTTGGCTACTTTTTCGGGATCAGCTCTCACGCCACCACCTGACACTACATGACCCAAAAAGTTGACCTCTTTACAAAACAAAGAACATTTCTCCAGATTCAGTGTAAGCCCTGCGGCCTGCAACCTCTGCAGCACCTTATCAAGTTTGGCCAACACATCCTCCACTCCATTCCCGTGAACCACAATGTCATCAAAATAATGAACACAGTCATTTGGCGTGATATCTCCCAACACACGATCAAGCAGACGAGCACAGGTAGCAGGTCCTCCTGCCAAACCAAAAATCATCCTTCGAAAGCGGTACGAACCGAAGGGTGTAGTGATGGTGGTCTTATCTCTATCTTTCTCGGACACACCGATCTGAAAATACGCGCTGTTCATATCAAGTTGGCAAAACGTATCAGAACCAGACAGCGCATCCAGCGTATCATCAATACGCGGGATCTGATACACAGGAATCTTACTGCAAGCATTCAAACGTCTCAGATCAGCAACCAAACGAAACTTTCCATTCTTCTTTCGAACCATAACGATTGGGGACGACCATGTGCCATTCGACTCCTCGAGAATCCCTTGGTCCACCAGCTCACTGATCTGTGCCTTGACCTCGGCTGCAAGGTGAGGGGGAACACGTCTGGGTGCCTGTCGAATGGGCGGGTGGTCACCGGTGTCGATGTCGTGGGTGACCACATCAGTGAAGCCGATATGGCCGTCAAACATATCCGCATAGCGGGACAACAGCTCGTGGACTCTCTGACGCTGCTCGTCAGTGAGGAGAGACTGATCGAGTTTGGCCAGTTTCTTCACATCAACATCTGTCGACGCCGAGAGCTCCGGTGCCTGCTCTACAAATCCAACCTCGACCGAAGCCAAACTTCGGTTTTTGAAGAGCGTGATCGGCTCTGCTGTCACATTCCGAACGACCACGGGAACACAAGCACGATCAACATTGACAATAGCACGCACCACCTCAACACCAGAGGGGACATCATCTGGCTCAATCAGAGCTGGGCCGACGTAATCGCAATTTGGCACAAGACCTTGAAGGACAATTTCACTACCAGGAGCAATCACGCGGTCACAGCTCAGAGACACGTTGCCCAAACTCACAGCCTGTGCAGAAACTGAGCGAACGGACACCTTGGGAACCATGACAAGACGTCTCCGACTCAAATCGATCACACACGGACAATGTTGAAGGAAATCCACTCCCAACAAACAAGGCACGTCAATTGCGTCAGACACAAACAGGGGAAGGGGGTAAGTGACATCACCGATCTGGAATGGCACTACGACCCGACCCAACAAAGGTAGGTCTTCTTTAGACGCAGTCTTTGCAGTTACACTGGTACGTTTCAGGGTCACATTTGAAAGGGCATCAAACACCGAGCTATGCAAAATACTGATTGAACTGCCGGTGTCCAACAAACACTCACATTTGACACCAGACACGCTTCCCGTAATGCGCATCGTATCAGTGATTGGGATTGACTTTTCATCATTGCTTACTGGGTCCGACCGGCGACCCCGTGTGAACGACCGGACCCTTGGTCGTTTCCCTGCTGTCGTTCTGGGCACACTTTGGCGATGTGACCTTCACCGCCACACACAAAACATCGACAGCGATTCAGACGGCACCGGTTACGGACATGACCGGCACGGCCACAACAGTGACACGTCACTGAAGCAGCGGCGTCACCTCTCGGACGCTGGACACGGTTGGGACGGTTTGACACATTTGGGTTCATCTGGGCCTGGTGCGTCACTGCAGCCAGGCGGGCCTCAAGCTCAGAGACACGTTTGTTCAGAGCATCAACAACAGACTGTTCCGACTCAAGAACACGGACTGGTTTCACAGCGGACTGAGAGCCTGGAGCACGCTGGTCGGGAGACACAGCGGAAGCAAGCGGGGATGCTGCAGCACCGATTGTTACTCGTGAACACTGAATGTTGCGCACCTTTGTGACGGCAGAGTCAAAGGAAGAAATGCCGTCGGCAATTACGGCAGTGTAATACTCCTGCGGAAGCGTAGCGAGGAAGTGACTGAACAGGAGAGGAGTGAGGTCGTCTACAGTAGGGAAGGCCAGCTTCATCAGCTTTTTGAAACGAATGACGAATGCATCCAGGGGCTCCTCTGCACTGTAGCGCAAGTTCCGAAGCGCCAAATGGTGGTCAGTCACCGATGCCTTGGTAAAGGCCGACTGTAGCCCCTCCACCACACCAGAAAATGAGCCAAGCTGGGACGCAGGCAGCCCATCATACGCATCGCGAGCAATGCCAGTCAAAGTCAGTGGCAAAACGTCAAGTTTGCGTCGCTCATCCCACCCCTGAATCCGAGCATAGCGGTCATAATCCTCCAAATACCGGCTCAGAGATCCATCCCCATTAAAACGCGGCAAAGAAACAAAAGACGACATCGCAGTGTCAGCGGGGTCACGCACTGTGGGTCTAACAGCCATCTCAGAACCAGAGTTTAGACTAAGACCAGGCGGCGGCTTTACATCATCAGGCCTGACAATGAAATGCAACAAACACACAGAAAAAAAAAATCCGGAAAATGGGTACGACTGGGAAAGGATAGGACACAGGCAAATGATCGTTTCTCACATATGAAAGGACCAGGAAAAATAAAGGCACCTACACATGAAAGGATATTACACGGAAAGGATGTAACTTTTTAACTTTTCTTGCGATGAAAAAATAGTTTCTTCTATAAAAACGACGATCAACGATGAGCCACAGCGGTGAAGAAATCAGCGAAAGTTCAGTTCAGTGAGGCAGTGAACGAGGCCTCAGTCACTCGACGAATTTCACAGAAACTGCACGACTCACTGCCACTCTGCAGACATTGTCCGGAGCCGAGACAGTTTTTACGAGCGACATTTGGAATATGCGCACACAGGTCATGGAGCAGCGTGTCACCAACCTCAATGGACGAGAGCTCGAAGTTGACCTGTCTCATGGCGCAGTCTCGAAGATGTTGCAGTGCAGACGGTAGCTGGCCACAGCAGCGTTGGTAGTCCCATCTTGATCTTGTCTCATCTTAGCTAGCAAGCAAGCCAGCTCCATCTTGCTGTCTCGCCACGCATCAAGCGGGCCAAAATGTAAGTGCAAAAGGCACAGGAAATAATCGGCTTTACATGTTCTCACTTTGAAGCGGCGCTAAAAAGTCAAGACTCAAAAGGCATGGTCTTGCGTCTGCGATAGACACGCACCGCTGCCACCAATGTAGACTGTGGTTGCGTCTTAGGTCCGAAAGCCGATATTTAAAATCACATGTTTGCTATATTGGGTAAACAATAACTCAAAACAGGCACAAGCCCGGCCGGCCCCTGCTCTGCCGACTCTCCCTCTCGTCTCTGGTCAGCTGTCGCTGCCCAAGCGGGGAGCGGGGTGGCGTTGCCCTAGCAACAGTTGCTAGGAGACGGCCGACGGCCTCCTCCCGCGGACGGATGCGGGCGGCGAATCTCAGCCGTCTATACTTTATAGTCAAAGCAGTGACTCAAAGTATTCTGGGAATAAGTATAGGAACTATCGAAATCATCAACGAGCATTCAAAATTATTGTGTGTGAATTTCTGCCGCTGTGTTTTGCCGTAGAAAAACAATCTACAATTTAAATGTGCTCTGAACAAAATGTATCAGTGGTAGATTCTCACAGCAGGCTTTGAAACGAACGAGGTGCTGAGCGAACAAGAAGAATTGGGAAATCCGCATCCCGAGGCGTGTTTGAAAAGCAAACTGCATCCTCACGAAGAGCAGCAGCCATTCGCACACAATTGCCCCGAAACACCGCAATCGGCTTTTCAGCGACGAGCGCAGCGTTGATTCAGAGACAGAGCTGAACTTTTGCTGTATTTTCCGGGAACCACCGCCCTACCATCGACGTGTCAACAGTGACGCTCAGCCCTCAGTGACGCTGATGTTGCATTGACAGTTGACGGCTGCTGTCTTCACAGGAGTTTTCCAATGTCCAGGAATGTGCTGGCAGCTTCCAGAGCCATCTGAACACTGCATTTCACGCTGAGGCAGATGCGACACACATCGCACTTCACCTCAGAAACGGTCGCCCATTCTTACACCGGGCATTGGTACTGAATACTGATCTTACGTAAAATATAGACGCCGATCCCTCATCAACTGGGCACATTTATTACAGCGCGGTCACAGGTTCACCCATGCAATGGTCCCTGCAATGGTCCCATGCACAGGGACCATGCAATGGTCCCTGAGCCCTCGCGAAATTTAACGCGGAATGGATGCAAAGCAAAACGAGTTATTTTGCCTTGGCATATGATTCAATCGGCACCTGTTTACATATGCTTATGGTGTTAATAAACTGAACATGCTTTAAATGCGCTATATTACGAAAAGGGAATAATTGAATTTTTATGTACTTTATTTCCATTTTCATTTTAGTGAAGTATATGTGACAAGCGGCTGTGCTGCTTCCCTTTTAGCAGCACAAGTTGTGTTTACGTTGCTGTTATAAAATACAGGTTACTGCCGTTCGTTGTCGAACAGGTTTGGTTCATTAATGTTGGCTCAAAATGTAAGTAAAATGTTTAAATTCTTCATTTCATTTATTCACCATATCAGCCACGGGACATGCCCATTTACGGCCAAAGTCACAGCATATTTGATATTAACCCTCGCCCGTAAACGGTGTTTTGCCACCTTCGCCCATGCAGGAGGGGGGGGGGGGTTGGTGCGACTCCCCCTGGCGTTTGAAAACGGAGCGTCGTAGAGCTTAGCGAAAAAGACCAACGGATTGCTCTCAACGATTGTTTAACGATCTCGCGATTGGTGGGATATTTTTTGGTCCGGTCAACATTTGACCTACTTATGACCGGTCAAATGTCAAATTTTCGGGAAAATCTAACTTTTCAGATTTCCGCGCCGATTGCGGCAAAACGGTAAGAGATATCGACTTGAAACCTTCACTATCGTGATCCTTGATCAATTCTTTATCGTTTGGTGTGTATTTCGATGTCATAACTCTAAAAATGATGCGTTGGGAGCATCGGAAGTCTGCAAGGTCATTTGTGCATTGGGTCACGTCAGGCGTGTGACGTCACTGACCTGACCCTGACCCAAAATGAACTACAAGAAACAACCGACGATGCCTGAAATGGATAGCAAATTCGAATTCAGGGCATCAAAATACCCCGATAAGGCATACAAGTGCAAGAAGTCATTACAGGTCAACCGAGGTCACTGACCTTACCTTGACCTTAAGTAACCTTCAAAATGTCAACGGACATTGTGCCAATGTCAAATCAGCCAGTTATGATTCTAAAACAATCCATCAGTGTGTCAGGTCAGTCGGCATTTATCCCAATGTGAAGCAATCTCCAATTTAGCGTAAAACTGGCCGGAGGTTGTTCCCTTTAAGACGTCATAACTCCGTGACCTGACATGAACTTGACAAAAAAAATACCAAAGGTTGCGCAAAGGATGCCCCATATAGGGTACTGAAAATTTGAGCAGGCTATCTGAAACGGTTCGGCGTGTAGCTAAGAAAAACCTCAGGGGGCTGCACCAACCCCCCCCCCCCCCTACATGGGCGAGGGTTAAAAATACATAAAAATACAGTCGTCATAGAATTAGCCCTATTGCCAGAGTAAAAAAATATAAATAAACAAGCAGCAAGAATTGTACGAGTTGTATGCGTGACGAAACGGCCGAGCCAAAGTACGACCGCAAGAAGCTGGAGTCGACATTATTTTTCAATATATGCGTGTCGAGAACATTAAATCATGTTGAGTTCGTTCGTCTCACATTCAGTGGACAAAGAGAAAAGTGATATAAAGTACATAGGCGGCTGCCGGCTATGGTCGAGAGTTTCTGAACATTCTGAATATTTGCATTTTTTATATAAATACTATGTTTATAATGTTGCTGAATATATGACTATCTGAATATCTGAATATCTGAATATTTGACCTTTTGGAAGCTCATTGTCTAAGTTTTCACCTGATAGAAGCTGCGTTGAATTATAAATAAATTGCTCTAGGATATTTGAAACGACGCCTGTCACGTTTCGCAAAGTTGGTGAGAAACGGGGATATGTAGAAGATAGGTGCTCAAGTACTCCCCCGAGAGAAGCACGTAAGTTCATGCCCCAACGGCCAGAGGTTTTATCCTATGACCCGAGTCATGCTGCTGCCGGTGGTGCTGCAAAAGTATACATACTCATCCTCGGTATTCCACTAGCCTAATCTGTGCTCGAACTTCCTCAACAACTCCTAAATGTATTCATCAGTGGGCGGCTTGAGCCTGGCCTTATCAGAGCGTACGGCGCACTAACGGCGATTTCAAAGGGCATCGTCCCCCACGAGTAGCATGCGCCGCACTGTGCGGCCTCTCTGTCGGATATCATGGTGGCGGTGCAGTGTTGTTTCGGGAAGTCTGTGCCCGTGGCGGCCACCCCCGTCGGCGCTTCTCGGAGCTGAGAGCTGACCCCAGGGCAGCAAAGGTCGTGGCTTTATTGGCGTTTGTTACGGCTTTGATGCGGCTCATCGCTGGCTTTCTGAGACGTAAAGAGCAGGGGCGTAGCCGCGATTACCGCGAGCTGTCCCGGTGTCCCATGGCTCTGAAAAGGTAAATAGCTTAGATAGGTGTACAAATGACGTGTGTGCGGCCAGACAATATCGAGGGTGATGGTACATACATGAGTCATAGCGATCAATATGCCTTCACGGAGACTCATTCATGTATTGTTGTGCAGTTGACAGATGACATCCCAATTAATATTGGGATGTGAGGAAAAATTGATCTGCGAATCAATATCCTTCATGAAAATTATTCTTTCCATCTCGTGCATTCTGGCAAGTATAAGCAGAATACTAATGCGTGCATATTATATTTGTTTAGCATTTTATTGCACGTATCAAGAAGTTTATGTTAGCAAGGTGTATATGTATTGTACACGTATATGCCGAATTGAATAGGTGTGTGTTGCATCCTCTGTCGCTGCCGCCGACACAACTGCTCCGGTTCGTGCCTGTATTCCGCAACCCGGTCCGACACCGACTGCCAGCACCCGCTCGGCCCGACTCAGACACTCCCTCGGCCCTGACCTGCCCCGCGGGCACACACTGAGCCGGGCCGGTGCACGGCGGCACAGCCTACCAGCAGCCGGTCCGCGGAACGGGTCCAAAACATAACAATCCCTTTCCTTGTAAACAACAACAAAACCTGACGCCTCACTATGGCCAGATCAAACAGAGTACCCGAAACGATCTGGCGGTCGCACCAGCCTACCACTGCGCGTGCGGTAACCGACAGTCGCTGGTATCGCTGAACCGGCGACCGGAGCACACGGAATAGCTGGTTCTCCGAGATCGACACAAGCGTCATACTCAACAATTACCTCTTACAAAAAGTGCTGTTACGCTTGAACAGTTTCCCGTCCCCCGGCCGCCTTACAGTCAACTGTGAACCGTTCACACTGACGACAGTATACGGTTCCCTGAAGAACGCAGCACTCAGTTTGTCCACTTTACGGGGCACACGAACCAACACTTTGTCACCCACGCGTATGTTATGCGGCGTTGCGCGTCGCCGCCTGTCCGCATACTCTTTGCCGCGCTTCCCGCTACGATCATGGGCCGCCTGCACCGCTCGGCGCCCGGGTGCTGGCGGCGGATCGACCTCCGGCAGCTTGGTCCTCAGCTCCCGGCCGTAGATCAGCTCCGCCGGACTTTTCCCGGTGGACGGGTGTGGCGTGGTCCGATACGCCAGCAGGAAGGCCTGCAGAGACTCCCGCCAGTCGCGCTGCTCCGCCACTGAAGCTCTGATCGCTTTGAGCAGCGTCCGGTTTTGCCGCTCAACGAGTCCGTTTGCCTGCGGCCACAGAGGTGTAACAGTCAGGTGACGGATCTGACATGTATCACAGAATCTCTCGAACTCCGGGGAGGTCAGGTTCTTTGCGTTATCGGTGGTCAGCGTTACCGGTAAGCCGAGTCGTGCAAACACTTGTCTCAATCGATCGATGATTAATGACGACGTAGTTGACCTCATGACTTCAACTTCTACCCACCGCGAATACCTGTCCGTAACAACGAGCAGGGACTCACCAGCTCGATCGCAACTGTTCGGTGTCATGCAGGCTATCGTCCCAAACTTTGATAATCTCTCAGGAAAAAGTAAGCTTGACATCCTTTTATTTAATAGAAACGTCACAAGCATGGTGGGTGTACATGTGGCTCACCACTTACAAACATACATTCAAAACACCAGGCGATTTACTAACACAACGTAACATTGACACAAGTACGAGTATACACACTCACAGCCACACACCACCTTCCAGCACACACACTCACATCACTCATCTGAGCCGGCGGTGGCCGCCCTGTGCACGGGACCGAGCGGGCTTTCCCTATTCCAGTTGGATGCTTCGTGGGTAGTTGGCGGGGTCGGCGTGGTTCTGTCCCCTGCTGGCTGTGTTAGTGGATCCATCATTTATTATATTGTTAAATTCTGTTGCAATTGTTTAGCTTTGGAGAGGCGCCTCGACTTAAGCGTTAGCTTTTGCGCCGATCCGCCATGTAAACGTGTTTGCATTTGTCAATGAGACAATAAAATACTTGTGTGTGTGTGTGTGTGTGTGTGGGGAACGGCCCGCAGAGATCCAGACTCACGTCCCGCCACGGTCCAGACGGCAACTCACTGGGCACCACCGGATCTGGTGAGTTTGCTGTGGACACAACTTGACAGGCATGACACATCTTGACAAGGTGTTCTACATCTTTGTCAACACCCGGCCACCATACCTTACTTCTCAGCCGTTGTTTGGTCCTCATCATTCCTTGGTGTCCTTCGTGGGCCAGCTGAAGTACACGTTTGCGTAGAGACACTGGAATGACGAGTCTGTGACCACGCAGCACCAAGTCGTCATACACGCACAGTTCGTGACTCACCGATTTATATGGACTCGGACATTCACCAGGACGGCCCCTCGGCAGCCACTTCACGACTTCCTGCAGCTCGCCATCCCTTCTGGTCCCTTCTTGGATCTGAGCCTTCGACAAGGCTACTGGAACAGCGTGCGACGACACGAAGCGGACGTACTCCTCGGCACTCCCGTCTTGGATCCCAGCCGGTTCTCGCTCCTGAGTCAGCCTACTGAGACAGTCAGCAATGTTATGTGGGCCGGGCACATGGCGAACAGTATAGCGGTAAGGCTGCAGCCGGAGCACCCACCTCTCCACGCGGGCTGGTGGCTTAGATGATGGGGAAAACATCGCCTCCAACGGCTTGTGGTCAGTGACCAACACAAAATTCACGCCGTACAAGTACATACGGAAGCGCTCGCAGCCCCACACTACAGCCAGGGCCTCGCGCTCCGTCTGTGAATAGCGCTGCTCGACATCAGTCAGGCTTCGGCTGGCGTATTCGACCGGCTGCAGCAGCCCATCAGGCTGTCTCTGAAGAAGGACGGCACCAAGTCCTACAGGAGAAGCATCCACCACTAGCTGCGTCTCTGCGTGCTGCTGAAAATAGGCCAAGGTTCTCCTCTGAGACAGCTGCCTCTTCAGAGTAACGAACGCGATCTTCTGAGGCTCGTCCCACCGCCACTCTGCTGCCGACTTCGTCAGCTCCCTGAGAGGAGCAGAGACTGTGGACAGATTCGGGATGAACCTGCCCAAGAAGTTGACGAGTCCCAGGAAAGACCTCACCTCGGCTGGTGAACTCGGCTCCCGGGCGTCCAAGACTGCTGCCACCTTCTCTGTTGTCGGTGACACCCCCTGCTTACTCAGATGGTGACCCATGAAGACCAGCTCTGTCAAGCGGAAGCGGCACTTTTCTTTGTTGAGCGTCAACCCCGACTCCATCAAGCGCTGTAGAACGACATCAAGACGCCGATCATGCTCCTCTACTGTGGAACCAAAAACCACAATATCATCTGCGATATTGCGTGCTCCTTCACAGTCTGCCAGGACCTGCTGGATGACCCTCTGGTGGATTTCGGGGGCACATGAAATTCCAAACATAAGACGCCTGTAACGATACAGCCCTCGGTGTGTCGCAAAAGTAGTGATGGACCTGGACTTCTCATCCAGCTCAATCTGATGAAACGATTGGACAAGATCTAGTTTCGAAAACACCGCGGCGCCAGTCATCTCGTGCAACACATCATCGATAGTGGGCATGGGATGTCTTTCCCTCTTGACTGCTGTGTTAGCTCTCCGCATGTCGACACAAAGTCTAATGTCTCCGTTACTCTTCGGGGCACACACAATTGGAGACACCCATGGTGTCGGGCCACTGACCTTTTCAATGATCTCCTGTTGTAGCAGCTCCTCCAGCTTCTTCTCTACAGCCTTCTGGAGCGCCACTGGGATCCGTCGCGCCTTCTGGGCCACTGGCTGGACGTCGGGATCGATGTGCAGCTGCAGCTGGAACTGCTTCAGCTTGCCAAGGCCACTGAAGAGCATCGGGTACTTGTCAGTGGGATCACGGCTCAGTGAAACAGAGCTCACTTCGGGACCAACCCGCAGCAACCCGACCTTTTCAGCGCTCTCCTTACCCAACAACGATATATGCGAGCCGGGGATCACATAAAATACAGCATCTGGCACTGTGACGTCATCAAATGATATCGCTGTTTTAAAATGTCCCACGACCTGCATCGGTTTCCCGGATCCATAGGCAAATAGTCTACGACGGCTAGGCAGCAATTGCACTCCCTTAAAGCTGGCTCTAAAAGTGGTCTCGCTCATCACATTGCAAGTCGCACCAGAGTCGACCAGCACTTCACACACCTGCTGACCCACCTGGATGGGAAAACGTCCCTCCCTCGCTGCAGAGCTGAGGCTGAAGACGTGGTCTTCGATCTCGGAGTCGACGTCGACTCCAGACGACACCACCTGGACTCGATTCGCAGGACGCCGGAGGGGCCTGTCACACATATTCTGAAAATGGCCGTACCGTTTGCATGCAAAACACCTCCGGCTCACAGAGACACAATCATCTGCCCTGTGGTTAGACCTGCCGCAGCGGAAACACTTCACCTGATTCGGCTGAGTCGACCTGCCTGGTGGTGCTGGTCTCGATTGCGATCGAGATGTTTCCCTCGTGCGGTCCTGACGGACCGTCTGAAGCATCTCGACGGGGCCCGCAGCCGCAGCAGCTGCAGCACCTTCGATGACGTCAGCCTGTCGGTCGGCATTCTCCATGCTTCTCGCGATCGAGAGAGCCGTCTCGAGGGTCAGACTCGGCTCCCTCAGAAGGCTACAGCGTAGCCGATGGCTGTGGCACCTGTCAACCAGCTGGTCCCTGATCATATCATTTTGCATTGCCCCATATTCACACGTCTTGGCACGGCTTCGCAATCTCGTCACAAAAACATCGATCGGCTCTTCTGGCTTCTGACTTTCCTTATGAAACATATGACGCTCATAAGTGACATTTTTCTTTGGCAAAAAGTGACTGTCCAAAATTTCAATAGCTGCATCGAGCGACTCTACCTTGACATGCTCATCCACAATAGCATGAAACACTTCTTGGAGCTCAAGACCTCCCAAATGCAGCAACAATGCAACTTGACGCTTGTCACCAGATATATCGTTGGCAGTGAGGCAACAGAAAAACGCTCTCTTCCAAGCGCTCCACTTACTGGGTTCGTTGCAATCAAACGGTGGCAGGGAGCCGAACGTACCGTCCATCTTGAGTTCAAATCCTCGTCGCCAAATGTTGCATCCTCTGTCGCTGCCGCCGACACAACTGCTCCGGTTCGTGCCTGTATTCCGCAACCCGGTCCGACACCGACTGCCAGCACTCGCTCGGCCCGACTCAGACACTCCCTCGGCCCTGACCTGCCCCGCGGGCACACACTGAGCCGGGCCGGTGCACGGCGGCACAGCCTACCAGCAGCCGGTCCGCGGAACGGGTCCAAAACATAACAGTGTGTAATGTCACAATGTATGTGAATTGTACCATGTATGCACAGCCCTCAGCAGACTGCGTGGTAGGTATTCTTTTTTTTCGACAAAACCGATATTAACTCAAAGGCTATGCTATCAGTCGGTCGGAACTCACTGCAAATAGATGCGCCATGCTCCACTCCTTCGATTAGGTCTATCACTAAACAAAGTATACGCCTTGTGTGGCAACAAAATGCAAAAGTTTGTTTTAGGGGGCAAATATAAACTTTTAGGTTTTTTTGCCGAACTAGATGGAAAATGAATAGGTACGGTGATGATGCCAACCCAAGGTGCGGAGTCTTAAGTACAGGCTCCACGGCACACTTTTTCGGTTTTTCGTTTCGTTTTTTTCGCTTTTTCGGCTTCATTAGACGATCAGCTTCACTTGATAACATTGGTGTAGCTCCACGGCAGCGAAACCGAAAAAACGAAATCAGCAACTCGAAAAAGCGACGCGAAAAATCGAAAAAACGACTCTAAAAAGCGAAAAAAGCGACTCTAAAAATCGAAAAAGCGAAAAAACGAAGCGACTCGTCCAACCCAAAAGTTTGGATCGACAATCAGCTTTTCCAAGTAACCTTGAGTTCTTCGGCTTCAGCACGTGACTATGTGGTAATACTGATGCATGTTTCCGACGATTCACATTTCGGTACTCCTAATGGAAAGGAAGGAATTTAATCGCTCAATAGTATTTCAGTGTAGGTATGCACATATTATCCACGTGAAAGGATTGAATAGCGATTAATTATGCGAGATATATGCACGTATTTATTTCATCTTTTGTAACAATTGTTCATCATGCTTCTAGCCGCACCCTGCTAGGGGGCGGTGTTTGAACACCACCTGCAGATTTTCGCTAATATCTAAAAAAAAGGTGACGTTTCGCGCCACTGTTTTTGGCACACCTTAGCAAGCACCTTTTTTACACATGTTATGAAAAATGTCAGGACCAAAGTGGTCTCTCAAGGTCAGGTCACCAGGTCAGGTAACCTGGTGATAAATGCAATGCTCCGATACCCTGTCAACGTCGTACAGTACACCCCTCGAAGATCGAAATGAGCCCCCCAGCATGAAACCGTTTTCTAATATCGGTGGCGATATACATTCCAAAAGAGAGAGAGAGAGAGAGAGAGAGATAGAGAGAGAGAGAGAGGAGAGAGAGAGGAGAGAGAGAGAAAGAGAGAGAGAGAGCGAGAGAACGAGAGCGAGAACGAGAGCGAGAGCGAGAGCGAGAGCGAGAGCGAGAGCGAGAGCGAGAGCGAGAGCGAGAGAGAGAGAGAGAGAGAGAGAGAGAGAGAGAGAGAGAGAGAGAGAGAGAGAGAGAGAGAGAGAGAGAGAGAGAGAGAGAGAGAGAGAGAGAGAGAACAAGATAACCGGTCCCGCTTCCTACCCCCCCCCCGCTCCACGGGCGATGGTTGGATTTCTGCACCCAGAATGTTCCAGTTGTTCCTACGCCTATGCAAGTTGGTACACATGACACAATGAACCGGAATATGGCACCCGTGACCCCTTGTTATGCCCTGAGGTCATATCAGGTCGCGAAAGGTATGCACAATTTTCGGTAATAAATTTCGATAAAGGCATGCTACTATAGAGCGATGAAAACACATTCGATGTGTTTGATGTTCTACTGGACGATACAAATCGACTGATATGCATCACGAACTTTCCGGCCAGGTCTTGACCTAGACCAGTACATTCTGGGTGCAGAAATCCAACATCGCCCGTGGCTAAAGGTTCATTCGATGCGTCTCGACCAGAGAAATACGTTTCTGGTGAAGGAAAGCTCGTGCAAGTTTAGAGTCAAAAGTTATTGTAGAAAAACTGTTTTTGCAGAATCGTGTCTATTTCGGACGTTTATGCTCTGCAGGATAAACCGTGGATCTTACGTCAAATCTGAGGACATGCTAGCGAGAAGAACGTTAAAAGAACGTTTGATTGCGCCTTTCCGCGGCGCTATAGCTCTATCCATTCCTGAGCTATGGACCGGTTTGTCGAAACTGTCGAAGTTTGACCGATATGGCGAAATTTTACCTTCGATGACCTTTAATGGTCTGCCCTTTGGCCTACACCTGACTTAAATGGCCGAAGCAGTGTTATTTTTTTTTTGCTGTTTCG